TGTCACGTGACTTTCTCTGCCCCATTGGTCCCGTGGTCTTCTTGTCCTGGCGGCTGCGCGCCAGCCGCCTGGTGGGTTTTAGTTGTTCCTTCCCGGGGTCGGGGTTCGTGAGGCCATGTTCGTAACAGGAAGGTGAGAAGGAAACACAAACAAGAATGATGGATAGCATGACTATAAGAGTATTAACAGTATAAGGGCCTGCTTTATATAAGTGTTTACCCATTGTGTATGTCTTTTATCAATAAAAAGAATGTTAAAAACCGGGTATATCTCGGAAATAAACTTTAAAAATGGCCACGGGAATTTAACTTCCGAGAACTTAATCGAGCGATTAATAATATCGAATGGTATATTAAATAAGGCTTATTACACCATCAAAAATTCTTTCTTCTGTTTATAATCACTTAAATAACATGGTGCAATCTTCCGATCACCCAGCTCATGTACTTGTCGTGGGTGGGGGTCCTTGCGGACTGGCCACGGCCATCGCAGTCACCCTTGCAGGCCATAAAGCTACTGTTTACGAGGCCTCTGAAAAGCCTCATTCGTTTGGCTCTGGAATCCAGTACTCATCCAATGCAACTCGATCGTTCGGTTTATGGGGTCTTGATGGTGTTTTAGAACCATTTGCAACGTCACTCACATCCGTTCAAGTACATGGACCCGATGGCATTCGAGTCTCCTCCATACATGAGGTTACTCATTCCCGATTTGAATCACAGCAGTCTGGTCATCGTACTATCCATCGCATGGATCTCCAATTTGGCCTGCATTATAGAGCACATCAACTTGGTGTCAAGATCTACTGGTCTCGCCGAGTTGTCGATATCGACATAGCCAAACCTGCAGTCTGCCTTCAAAATGAAGAACGCCATTGTGGAGATCTCATAGTTGTTGCAGACGGTAGATGGTCCACCCTACGATCAAAGGTGGTCGGAAGAACCATTAGCCCCCAGCCTAGCTCTGCAGTGGCGTATCGTACCACAGTAGATCGCTCCCAAGTACGGGATCAAGGCTTACTACAGTTTATGGAGATGGCGCAGAGTCGGACTTGGGTCAGCAAGGGGGCTTGTGTTGTTGCTTTCCCCGTTAGAGCCAATGCGCATCTCAGTGTCTTGCTACTAGTAGCGGATAATTGCCAGTACGATACATCCATGAATCCATTCGTGTCGGAGAGCTTTCGGCGACTATTCAAGTCCGGAGACCTAGTGTGAGTTTTATATTACAAGGTGGTGATCAGACGGCACTAACGTCCAAGTTCAAGACTCGAGGCGTTGCTTAACACGGCAAAGATGAGAAATCATTGGCGTCTAGCAGTACCAGCGCTTATTCCGCACCTCTCAAAAACTGCTTGTTGTGTGCTTGCAGGAGATTGTTGTCACTCCACCCACCCACTGTTATTTCAAGGCCTTGATCTTGCTATAGAAGATGCAGCAACTCTTGGAACACTTCTAGCTCATGTCAAATCAGCTGAACAGCTGCCTCCGGCGATGAGACTCTATGGCCGTTTGAGAAGCGATAGGGTAGAAAATCTTATCAAGGCATCGTTAGGCGTTGAAAGAGATCTATATTTGGGCAACAGAGAACTCGTGGCGGTTGAAAACGATAAGAACACCGAGATTCCACTCAACACTGACTGGTAAGTGGCTCCATGAACTATTGACTGCTTGAGATGTGGCAGAAAATGGCTGCTAACTTAAGCCTCAAGGGCATTTCTAGAGTCACGGATTTCTATAGGGTCATACGACGCATCCAAGGAAGCTGAGCAGCGTTACCAGAGCGACCCGTTTTAATTTGTTTCGTTCCCATACAGACTGCGTGGTGGCAGTTGTTGATAGGGTGACGGTGAGTCTCATATGTCTCGCGTCTGCTCGGTGTGGTTCTTGGTCGGTCTGATGGAGGGGCGATGTTGCATCACGTATCCATTGCAATTATCGAGAAATCTTCATTTAATCATTCAGACGAGATAATTAGCCATCGATCAGACTTTAATCAACCCATCAAACGATGAGCCGCGCTATAGTGATCGCCGTCGTAAAAGGAATCAGAAAGTACCCATATCAACCGGAGATATGGAGCCAAAAATCTCCTATCCACCATGGTGTTCTATGCCTCGATGGCTATTTCCTTGGTAGAATTCACACCGTTTGCTACGACATTATCCTGATTAGGCTGCTCATCATCATATTCCTCCATACCGCCCAGAATCATGGAAGGTGGAGCCAGAGCCTGTAGCTCTGGGGGGTTGGTGAATGCGAAGAACTTCTCGTCGTGCCATTGGCCAGCTGTGATGTACCTGCCCTCGCTGTCGGTGAACATGGTGTCGTCCTCAGCTCTAAGGAAATATGCAATAGAGTAACGATGCTCCGTGTAGTCATATGGCACAACCCTGTGGATGCACGACTGCATTTTGTGGCCGCTGGCAAAACGCAGCGAGTCACCCACGTTGACAATGGCGCAGCCATCCTTTGGCTGTACGAATCCAAACTCGCGAGCCTTTGGAGGCCGAATTTGCAGGCCCCACTGTTCGCTGAACAGCAGCGTAAGTGAGCTAATATCGGTATGCTTCTGGTGTCCGATTTTTTTGTCCACCGTGGGATCGGAGGGGATGTAATGCATCATGGCCAATGTAGTTGTTGATGGGCGGTCGTTGCGATGAGTGTTCTCGAATCTAGCTGCTCCAGTAAGTCCCAATCCAGTGGAGAGAGAGGACAATATGGTTTTCGTAATGATATTGCAGCCTGCAATCGCATTGTCGAGTACTTTGATATCTGGGCTGTTCTTAATGACGCTGGGGATGTGTGGACTGGATTTCTGGATTTCGTCTCGAGCAACCTAGCAATGAAGTTCAACTAGTTAGCTTAGACTCAAGTCGAACCCATAAAAGATTCCTAACCTTGATCATTTCGTATCCATCCTTCGTGTCCTTCAATACCCCGGTGCGTGAACCGACCGGCTCGTAACTTTTTGACCTAGTTAGCAAGTTCGGTTTGTATACTGGGTTCTGGATACCAACCCGAGATGGGGCGAGATAAGGCCATATTGGTTCTTTGCTTCAATTGGGGACTCAAAGAATTTGTGCATAAGTTCCAGCGTCTTCTGTTGGTCCTCGAGAAATCTGCGGCCATCGATCCCTTTCAGGTCGATGTAAAAGAAGCCTTCCGTTTCGCAACATTGTACCAGCCTTTCGAGTTCCTCAGGCTCCTGAGACAGCAGTCGCTCGAAGCTGATGGTCTCCATTGGGTAGACGGGCACAATTTGGCCATTCCATTGAACGGTCTGGGGGACTTCGTTTGAGATGGCCATCGTGTTTCGCTTGTGGAAAGTGGTGGGTACTGCAAGTTAGACGTTGTCTATGAAAGATTGTCGCAAAGGCACAAGGAGGATGTCCTGTAACTGTTTGCACTACCTCGCAGCCTGGCAGAAACAGATTTATTTTATAGAACAAACAGCTATAGTCAAACAGTGTGCCTCCATTTCCAATATAGGGTGCCGATGATACCTCACCCACAGCCACGTGATCTGCATTTACCCATACACCAGATTTATATCCAATCACTGCGCTAAGCGCGGCAGACTATCTTTCTTGGCTGGATAAATCTGTGGGATCTTGGCAAGCAAAGACAAGACAAGACTTCCCCTCATTACCCAATTCGAGAGACGCAATGTTGCTCACACCAATCTTCCATGGGGGTCAACGCGGCAATTGAGATGTCTACTAATCGTACGATACTCGAGACTGCCGACGACCGAGGCTCATCTATCTGGGGCAACTAGAGGCGTAGAGCAGCATATATCACGATTGCGTTTCGATGCCAAGTCGGAGTTTCCAAAGCCGCTCTTATTGTCCATCAACGGTATATGGAACTTTACAGTGTTGCATGCGGGGCAAGTCCACTGAGTCAAAAACAAACTGACTTGATAGTGGAAGTAATCAACGTACTTTATTAGTACCACTACGGGCACTATACCCATCCAGAGGCAGGCTGAGGCGGCAAGACGACTCTATCACGCAGCATCTAGTGGCCAAGGCAGAGTGTTGTGCATATATACCATCAAAGATTGTCATCCTACCTAGCGGTTTATGTCTCACGTTCTAGTTGTTCTCCAGCCCGTAGGTCTATTTCTGCAAAACGCCGATCTTGTCAGAATCTGGTCGGTTTCTATCAGTCCGATCATACTACTTGCAAATCTAGAAAGTATTGAGGCTCTGCGTCTCTGCCTCCTGCATTTCTATCGCAGTTTACTCATCATATAACACCAAGCATCTGACTTCAATGCTTTGCCTCGACTCAAGATCCTTGTGTGAAGAATCTTCAAAAGCTGAATGCAAGGCTCGTCGAGCCACCTCCAGTTTTGAGTCAAAGCACTTGATGAGAAGCACCTCGTCGGGCTCGAGCTTGTATTTGAAAAACCATCGATGCACTGGGTTTGACCTGACAACCCAGGACTCTCCTTTATAGCCGTCCTCAACCATGTCAGCCGCAACAAGGTCACTGTCTGGCACAGATCTCGCGTCTGCCACTGCGATCGGATCTTTCAATATTGTTGCGATGGGACGCCAGATGTTTATGATCTGATACCGCTTCTTGACAAGATCGTCAGCTTCGTCGGGAAATTCCCATCTGAGCCTCATCTCGGCTCCATCATAAGACTGGTCCACATGGGTCCTAGTGACAGGGCCTCGGTTCGCCAGGTTGTTCAGTCCCAAGTGATGCCATTGCGTCGGACCTCGTCTAACCTTGTGGTTGAAAATATGGACGCGGCTAGCTCCTGTGACCTCTTTCAAAAGCTCTCTGCATTCAGAGTAATAGGCACCCTCAACGCTGCAGTTGTCGGTAAAATCCTTCTCCGCGGACACGTGGCGACAGTACTGAAACCCATGTTTATCAAGCGTGTACTGGTCTTCCTCTCCACTAATATCCGACACTTGATATGGATAAGGCTTAGTTGGCCGCTCGTTAGTGACTCTGCTCTTGCCAATGAAGATGGGCGTTGGGCGAGAGCCATCTCCAGGATCATTCCAGTAATTCAACGATGTTGATACGTGGTGTTTATCTTTTTGGTCACAGGATCTGAGTGACCATTGAGGATCTTGCGGATGCCGAGAACTGTCCTCGACTGCCATAGGAAAGATTGATGCGATTATTCAGAACCAAAAATGGACACTAAACGTGTGTTCCTTGTTAGTCAACCAATTCCAATAGGGTGTATGTCAAGGGATAAGCATTTTGGTTTTCCTGCGGTTCCGACTGTTGAGTCTCCGAGTCCCCCGCTTCTGTCGATCTTTAGTTACTGTGGTATTCTGCCTGTTGTCGAGAGTTAGGCAATGCAACGTTCCACTGCCGACACGCATATTCATGCACCCCAAGCGTCACCCCTCTTTGAAATGGAGTCCATGTTCCAACTCACATGCAGCGTCAAGACACGGTACTTTATGCACAGTTTTCACTGGACTGGCTAGGTGGAAATTCCCATTTGGCCCCTTTTATACAGCCTTCCCGTGTCCGCATTTTGCTGCGGGTGGCGCGGCGCCAGATTCATAGACACCAACCGCATGGACAGCATTGGTTATCTCCTCTTCTTGGCTTCCACATCTTGATTTCCACCTTGGCAACCTGGTAATCAAACGCGCATTGTTGTTATGAGAGCCTATGTAAAATTGGGTAGCGACGCACGACGCGATGGGTGACGTCTGGGTACTTGTACACGTTTGATAAAAGCCTTACGAGATGCTGTTGAAAATTTCTCCAGGCGACTGTGCTTCAGCATTGACGACAACACATACCATATCGTGGACTCATCACGATAGACAAGATTTTCTAAGCCCGGGCTCTGGTTCCTCACGGTATTCAGAAAGATCATAGCACCTTTCAAGCTTATAGTCATACCAAGGATCTGCGTCATTCTCTCTGTTGACTTCTAACTCAGTTCAATGTCTTGAATGGGTATAATTTTGCATATATTCATTAAACACCAAGGGCTTGATACCTGGGTCATACAATTAATCTATCCTCTAATCCCATGACGCCCAAACAGTTCCTTTACTAATTCTGCCTCGGTAGATTATCCAGTTCCAGATTAACCAAATCGAATTAACAGTATGTCTAGTTGAGACCCAAGAAGAATGGTAGGAAGGCTGCGCTGCAAATTTGGATGGCGAGCGGGACTATAGCGATAGTTGCCGTTGAATCAGTGCCAGGGTGGATAGTCCATCCCCAAGGTGCGCCAACAGCGAAGTAGATCATCACTGAAACTAGGTGAGTTTCGTGTGCTCGAAGGAGATTGGAAGGGTGCGTGACTTACTTGCAGCCAACAGTAGGCAAATTACCCAAGTCCATTTGAACTTCTTGACCATTTGCTCCATGCCGATGTAGAAGCCAGTAGGACCCATCTCCTTGGCGGTCGATGCCCATTCAATGTTTATACTGAATGCATGGCAGAGCAGGGCTTTAGCGCAGTTCAAACTAATGCCTCCGAAGTAGATGACTAAGAAAGGCAACCACTTGATAGCCTCAAGAATAGCGCGCCAGAATGTTTCCTCTTTCAGTTGGTGGCGCGCCATAGAGAACGCCACAGACCCGAAAAGGTTAAAAACAACTACCAACGAGCACCAGATGCCCCAGGAAGGCTGGTACAGATGATCGACGTCATCTGGAAACAGCCCGATGACGATATAGTTAACAGCAGTCAGGACCATACCAGACGCAATCGCATAGTCTAGATCGTTAGCCAAAGAAACTTCCATATAGCTCAAGATAACCTACAGGTAAAAATGTACGCAGTAATGGTAACTTTGCTCGTGATGGGGATGTTGCTCCATAAGAAACGAAGGAATAGCCTGGTGACTGGTCCCTTGTAGATCCACTGGTAGCTGGCACGATGTTAGTCAGATAGTAAATGGAGGTTACAACTAGCACCAACTTACAATGGGTGGAAAACCAGTTCGTTGCAGCCGTAGGCGTACTTTTCCCAACGCGTCAACTCATCATAAAGAGTGAGTGATACACCTTCTTTGAAGCCTCCGTTGTGATATGTAGCCAGCCGGATAGTCATTCCTTGCATCTGCAGCCGAAGGCTGATATCGAAATCCTCCGACACGTGCGCGTCGGACCACCATTTCTGTTGTCCGTCTGTGGGATCGACAAAGCCAATGGACTGGATAGCCTTCCAGCGCAGAAACGCATTGTGTCCAACGAATGGGGAGACATCACCAGTGCCGACACCGTATTTGATGGCAGTGTAAACAATGTTGGTGAAATAGGTGATACCGTTCTCAAACATGTTGTGCACCACCTGCATGACCCCTGAACCGTGTTGTACAATGGCGACTTCAGGGCTCTCGTGCATCTCCAGGGCGCCATAGAGCAGAGAGTCTTCAGGGACTCGAGTATCGCAGTCGATGATCAGAATGAGCTCACCAATGCGTATGTTGCCCTCAGCCCAGGTTCGGCCTTGATCGGCGGCAATCATGTTGTCCAAGGCTTGGACGTACAGCTCATCATCGTCATCGGCAGTCAGATCTTCGTCAGTGCACCCTCGTCTCTCACATTCGAGGCGCTGCAGGCGGTGAAGTTCGTCCTCAACCCGAATAGAGAAAGCCAGACCGTAGTTCATGTTGCTTGCCTTCTTGAACTTGCCCTTTCTCTGGAACTGAAGTCTGTTGGACATTTCCTGAGGGCTAAGGTCCTTCAGGTCGCCGAGCTCTTGGGTGTTCTCAGATTTTTGAGACCATGGCCAGCTAAGGCCACCCTTGGAGTTGCTCTTGCAGTTGGGGAGTCTGGCAGTGTACCCGATCCCGTTTTCTCTATAATACTGCTTGCGGGCCTCGGCAAGCTCGGGCTTGATGCATTGCATTCCATCATCGTTGACGAACACGGAAGCAGTGCCGCCTTGCTCCTCATAGTGCTGGATCGCCTTCATGACACTGACCATTGTGGGTACGATAACACTGATAAAGTAAGCAATAGTTCCATAAATGCCCATAGGTAAACTTACCCTTTCAGGCCTTCCTTATAAACGGGCATTTGCACAGTAATATGAGGAAGCTGGTAGTCCTTGTGTCTCTTCGGGTTGGGCTTGATGGCTATAGTACAGAATATCAGTACGCTACTATTAACATGGCGATTGGATCAGGGCACTGACCAGAGTGATACTTTGTGTTCTGTAGGCAAACCGAAGCCGGGAGGAACAGTTGAAACACACTCGTCACCAAAACGATGAAGAAGAACAGAGAAAAGAGAGCCAACGGAGGAATAGTGACAACCTGCGAAAGCCATTTAGTTTGGAAACCACAAACTTGTGGAGTACGATCAACTTACCAGACCAAACCGCGACCAATGACCATCCCACCAGTATTGGTTGAGAAGCTGTGAGTATATGAGTATGCAGTCTCTAGGACGGAAGAAAGTATTGTACCTTTGACACACCAAGTGACTGCGTAATGATTACGAGCATGATGGCGAGACTGATCTTGATAGCGTGCAGCCGTGCGGCAGGTCGTGGAGCCTGGTTGGCTTCCACATCCGCCCCTTCGTCTTCCTCGCCCTCTTCGAGTGCAACCGCCTTCATGTAGATCTCATTCTTCTCGTCCAGCCCACCCCGTACAACGCTCGGTGTCGCTGTCGTATCATTCGCCTTCTCAAACTCAGACTGGTTGGCAGAGAAGTGAGGAGTAGGGTCGCCTGATTCGCCGGAAACGCCTGACTGTATATGTTATTAGTATCCTGACCAAGGTTCAAAGCATATTAAAGACAAAGCAACAGGGCTTACAAGTTCGACGAGCTGTCTCTCAACTTCGTGCGCTGTATTGAGAAGAAAATCTGGCTCATGAGACCACAGGAGGACAAGCTTCTCCTTCAAGACAATGCAGGCACTTGAAGTGTGTGCAAGACCGACAAACACATCACCAAGGGCTGCGACGACTGGTATACGCGCGCCGGTACTTTCCACCAAAAGATATTTCTGCTCAGGGGTGATTTCCGCAACCACCTTGGACGTGATCTCCGAGATCATGGACATGACCGCAGGTTCGTCAATTGTCTGAATAGCACTGACGAGGGGAGAGGCAGTATCCTGAGGCATCAACGCGTACTGCCCTTGGGAGTCTTTGAGAGCGACACAAGCATATGATGAGTCGTCGTCAACGTCGTTAGAAGCCTCGTCAAACCAGCCAAGAAGAGTAGCTCGCCGCGCAATCATTTTGGCCATCTACCAAGGCATCTTCATCAGCAAAGTCTCTTCAGTGGTAATTAACATTTGAGAACTTTGGAATGCTTACTGTGACGGGATCCCCAACTCTGCTCAAGTCAACAGTGGACCATTTGGACATTCGCTGAGGAGTGGATGAATAAGACCCATAGTCTGAGTGGTTCCTCTTGTATGTGCTGGTAGGCCGCCGCGGCATAGAATGGCGGGAAGGTTGTCCGGAGGAACGATGGCTTGCTCTGCTTTGCAAAGAAACGGCATCTGCCTCCACAAACTGGGTTTTCACCAGCTGTTGGGACAAGTTCCTGGTATCGTTCGTCGTCATTTTGAGGACTATCGAGGGTTCCGTGATCACCTTGGAAAGATAGATACACCCTAGAAATTCCTCTTGCGACTCTTGTCTGTCCAACAAGTCGAGGACCATGTGCCGCAACGGACGGGATCCATGACCCTAGATATTAAGAACCCGAGTCCATCGGAGTGATGGACACAGGGGTTCCAGTCGCACCGGCGACTGCGAGCTTTCGTGGCTGAGGTCCATTGCATCAGGGTCCAGCCAGACTGACAAGGTGTTCGAGAACTCATCCGTCCACGCTGATAAAGACTCTAGCCATATCTCGTCTTCAGCTCGCTTCGAAAGTTCCTGGAGTAACCCCTTGGCGGCTAGGTCTCGATTCGAGCGGAGCCCGGAGTCCACGAATTCACGACTCCGATCGGGCATGCCTATGGCTACGGCGGTCGTGAGTGATTATCTTTAGGCAACCCTCCCCTGTCACTCTAGACTCGCTGCTCTGCGCTTGTAAGCGCCTGGTGTCTGACGAAGATAGGGAAATACATAGTTTCAGGTGGGATGATTGCAGGGGTGACACCATCGAGTCATCACAGCCTGGGCTTCTAGCTCACAAACGATTTCTGCAAAGGCTGAAAGGCTAGTAGAAGTGTTGATGCGCTTCGGCCGAAGATCCGTGATTTTGGTTTCTCAAGACCCTCAGTTAACACACGGACACGAGCGTGCGTGCATTCAGCTTGGCCGAGCTACGGTGTCGATACCGTTCTGGTAAATTGTGGGCCGGAATATACAAACCTTGCAGACCCGGGAACTGACCTATACCGGATTCGGATGTGATCTTCTCTTTTCGGTAGCGCAACATGTCGGAAAGCGGAGCAATATACTGGGCCGGCCACGTCTGCGGCTGATGATCCCTACTGCATTTTACAAATGGTGAATGGCCTTCATTTCGTTTGGCCACCAGGCTATTGAACAGTACTGAGGCCTTACTTATCTGCGTTGCTCACGTACATCCAAGGCCTTCTTTTTGAGTTTTGGGCGGCATGTCCAATCCAGCGCGGGTGCCTGCCAAGATTGCATCAGGTTTTGTTCATGGCTGTTATCGTAATGCGGGAAGCAAATTTATGTCCTTACCATGGTACTCGTACAACGCGCGCCAATGACGTAAACCGTAGAGTGCACAACACGAATGAGCAGAGGAGTAACGACCTCTATTCTGGTGATGGTCGAATACACACTACCTAGCGGACTCACACCATACTCGGTAAATGAAAACTCTTTTTTTTCCCTCACTGAATTACACAGTAGATGCAAGGTCAAGAATGAATTTGACCATGGTACTGTGAAAACGAGCCTAAGCTCTAGATTTTTTGTTGGTGAAATCGCGACGTTCATCTGTGGGTCCTCGTCGAGCAGACCCCTGTAAATACCCAGACACAACCAAGCATAAAACCCCTGGTTCAAATCACGATTGACAACATGGGTTCAAGATAAGCGCCCCCGGTCATTATGGAGCAAGCTGAACTTTCAGAACATTCGAGCTCGAACCAAGATTCGTTGGCACCTCAATGCCGGCATGGACCCTTTCCGGGGGGTTTGGTCGCCTCAGCCAAGCCTGGGAAAACCCGACCCAGCCCTTTGGGCCTTTTGGGAAGCGTGGTTTTTTTTTAGGGGGGGCGTAGAGCTACTGCGGATAACAAAATTGTATCAGTGGCCATTAGCGAGCATTAGCGAAGACGTTCTAGATCCTTGAAGGGGGCGCCGAAGGTTGTCTAGAAGGAGTCTCGTTAGGCGCCCTGACGCAATGACCATCCTTTAAACATTTGTGTTGCCCATGTTGCTGTGAACATCTCGAGCATTGATATCAACCTTCAAGCCTGCCTGCTTTCTTTCAGTTTTATTACCGTAAGGCTAGTTGGGACTGCAAGCAAACAATCACCTTGGTTCAAACGCGCACTTCAAACCCGACTCGGGTCTTCTCCTCTTAGGCTCTCCCACCCACTCGTCCGGAGAAGAGTAGGAATTCATTCCATCTCTTTATCGGACTTGCACAGAAGATGTATCTCTTTAGCACTAAGCAACAGGCGCCAACCGGTGCGACCACAGCAGCCCAGCCTGGAAATGCTGGGAATGACACTGAAGGGCATCGTCTATCCACCATCTCACAGAATCCGTTTAGAACCCCCCCCTTCGCAACACCAATTCCTTCCATTCGCTCCGGAAGGCCAATTTCTACGGCCACGTCTTTGAACAATGGTACGTGAAATAGACAAAAAACAACACTACGTGAGATTTAACGGCCATAATAGGACAACCTAGGCGGCGTTTTCAAAGCTCCAGGCTTAACGGCGAGATGGAGAAGCCATGGCTCCATAGCGCCAAGAAATCCATGAATTGGGACAGCATCATCTTCTACACCGCTGTGTCGGTTGCGCTGAGTACGGAGACATTGCCAACTAGGTATTCTGACAATCCATACTAACAACACAATCAGTGATTTCCGCCTACATATGCTATGACGCCGTGAAGGACGTACCAAAAAATGATTACTGTCTTATCATGGATGACAAGTTCGAGAATTTGGATAATTGGAGCCACGAGGTGCAGATGAATGGTTTTGGGTAGGTTTCTGGAAGCTGCAGTGACTGAGAGTTGTTGCTGATATGTGCATGTCTTAGTACCGGTTCGTTTGATTGGACAACCGACGACGCCGCCAACTCTTACGTTGACTCCGACGGGCTTCACATTGTGCCGACACTCACAACGCAGAGCACGGACATCACTTACGGACAACTCATGAATGGCTATACTGTCAACTTGACAACTGACGGAACCTGCACCGACCGCGACCAGCGCACCTCCGAGCTGGTTACGAGCAATCCTTGCAGCGCTGTGAGCAATTCAACAAAAGGGACGATGATCAACCCAGTTCGATCCGCACGATTGACGACGGCCGGCAAGAAGACCATCAGGTACGGACGTGTACAAGTCGAGGCCAAGCTTCCTGCAGGCGATTGGCTTTGGCCCGCCATCTGGATGATGCCGCAAGACAATGTATACGGTGATTGGCCTCGAAGTGGTGAAATTGATATTTGCGAGTCTCGCGGCAACGACGCGGAAACTTACCCACTGGGTAGTAACATCGTCAGTTCCGCGATGCATTGGGGCACAACATATTCCAACGACGCCTACCAGAAGAGTTACGGCGAGTGGGGCGCAAAGCGTACCAAGTACTCTGATGGATTCCACACCTATGGCCTAGAATGGAGTTCGAAATATATGTTCACCTGGCTCGACGGGCGTTTGCGGGTAAGTAAACGACTAGCTCCCAACTCTATACTACAGTTTCTGACCCCGCTTTTTCTTGACTATAGCAAGTTGTATACTTCGATTTCACTAAGAATAAGAACATGTGGACCTATGGCGAGTTTGCCTACGACACTGTGAACGGTACGGCTCCTACGGATCCGTGGAGCTGGACAGGCAGAGCGAATTCGCCTTTTGACCAGGATTTCTATTTGATTTTAAACGTTGCCGTGGGATCTACTAATGGCTATTTTCCGTAAGTGGTATTCAGTTGTAGCCCAATCATAATGGGACATTATTGAATTTGAGCTGACAGTTGACTTAGCGATGGAGTTGGAAACAAACCTTGGACAGACGGCAGCGAATCGCCGATGAAGGACTTCTACTTGGCAAATTCGACCTGGTTGCCCACGTGGGGTTCAGGAGACTCGAGAGGCATGGTAGTGAAGTCGGTGAAAATGTGGCAAGAAGGATCATGCTAAACTTTATGTTTTTGTTTTTCTCATTCTATTCTGGATGATTAATGATGGTAGACTAATGGTAGATTGATCCTTGGGCGTTTTTGGAGTTCTCTAGCAGTTTTTCCTGCTATGGGTGGGATTCTGAAATATAGAAATCTAGGCTTGTAGGCCTCATAGCCCTTGCCTGGATAGTTCACGAGAAGAGCACATCAGAGAACTGGCCATCTGCAACAGACACTTTTCGTGGTTTATGACAATTCCTTCATAAACCTGCCTTCACCACGTTCGAGCATACTGCAGCGGCTAGTTCCTAGATTCTGCCAGTCCAACCCTTGTTGGGCAAGCAATGATATCGAGCAAGTGCTGTAGCTTACCTTGTACAAGGCCGACAGGGAGCCAGATAAGCCCCAAGGGTCTAGATTCAGCTGAGCCTGAACTATTGGTATTTTTCACTTCCGCCAAGGTGGATCAAGTTCTGGAGCGCAAGGGTAGGGTAGGGGTCCACTGTGCAGGTGAGATAAACTTTCAATGGCGACTATGCACCCATGCCCATGATCCGCTAGTAGGTTCCAGCCCCCCGGTCGTGCCGCAGAAGCCTAGATCGAGCCATTGGTAACTAGAGTATTAAAGCTGATATGCCATGAGTGGGCCACGTCAATGAGCTTGACTGAAACGGCCGGTCCCACGCCTACTTTAGATAATTCATCAAGAAAAGGTCTAGATATGGCTGTAGAGGTTCCATTGGCGCTAGTCTAATAAAGCCCAAGCACAGTATGTTGCTCGTTACGGTAAGGGTATCCATCCATGTGTCGAGATCGAGCCGCCGGACTGGTCAACGACCGAGTTCGCTTAACAAGGCGACTAGATGTCAGCTGTTGTAGGCCTATACCGTGCCTAAGCAGCTAGTCCAAAGTCCAGAAAGGGAATAGGTAAGCGAATTCGGACTCAGCCACGAATGTAGCAGTGTGCTGAAGTCAAGCAGTAGTCCAGTCGTCAACCATTCATAGTCCCAGCTAGTGTTCTTGTCAGAACAGCTCTATACAGAAATCGGCAATGCCCGAGCCTTCATTGACTGGGATACCATCTAGAGAGAGACTTCCGCAACTATTGATCTAAACTACAAGTAGCGACTCGTCACGATTCCGGAGGGTTTGTCCGAGTATTCGTAGATCGCCCCCAGGCAACTGGGCTCTAGCATCAAAGCTAGTAGAACCTACCACTCAGCTGGGAAGCGACTAGTCAAAGGAAAAACGTGGGTTCCCCATACGCCGGGGTCTAGTCCTGTTGTATGGTGAGTTCCAAGCACCAGCTGGCCGGATTCCCGTAGACACAGAGGCCCAGATCATTTCTTTGCAAACACATGACTTGGGCTGTGGTATTCGGCGCAGCCGATAGCTTTCCCTCACAGACATTCAGCGTGGTCGAAAGCAGCTGAGCACCTTTTTAGCGCCGGTGGGATGTTCTAGATTGTCCAAATAGAATTTCTTGATATATGGTCTCTTGAGAATTCTGGAGTATATGAAGGGATCTCACGCGCACCTTGTCGATCGTTTCCATGCCTGGTCCACACACACCGCATTCAGCCTTACACGCAACAGATCCCACACTAGCCTCCAACTAGATCCTAGATACCTCTACTGGACTATCAAGATGTATGCCCTCGGCTTGATCTTCACCGCCGCAGCGACTGTTGTCCTCGCCAGTCCTGCTCCCGCTGACGTAAGCTATTCCACCGCCCAAATCGGAGATCACCACTGACTTGAAACTGCAATAGTTTGGATTCTCGAAGGACCTGCTCCGTCGAGCCCTTGTCTCTTCCGATGGCATCTGCGGCATCTACAACAACTCCAGGACTTGTACTGGAAGTGGTTTCGGTGGCTGCTGTTCGCAGTTCGGGTACTGTGGCAGCGACGATGATCACTGTGGTGTCGGTTGCCAGAGTGGTTGGGGCAGCTGTGGAGTGACCGCACCCACCACCACTTGGGGAGCCTTGGGTTGTTACTCTGACCAGAGCAACGCCCGAACCCTTACTACCAGCATGAACGTTGCCAGCAACACGATCGAGAGGTGCCAAGCTGCGTGCGTCGCGGCCGGTTTCAACTACTCTGGTACTGAGTTTGGCAACCAGTGTTTCTGCGGTACCACCATCTCCAATGGCGGTGCACAGGTTGATCCCTCAGGCTGCAACAAGGCCTGCTCCGGAAACAGCACGCAGATCTGTGGTGGCGCCGGAACTCTCAGCGTGTCCATCATCACGCCCCGCTGGCAGAAGGTCGGATGCTACTCTGATTCAACCACCGCTCGCACGCTCAGCGTTTCCTACAACATCGCGGGTGTGACCAATGACAACTGCAAGGCTACGTGCGAGGCCAACGGTTACAAGTACGCGGCCACCGAGTATGGCACTCAGTGCTTCTGCGGCAATTCTATCCAGAACGGAGCCTCTGCCGTTGGTGCCGGTTGCAACATTGCGTGTGCTGGCGACTCAACTACCTATTGTGGAGGATCAAATGCCATGAGTCTTTTCACCTACATGTAAGCTTGCAACTGCAAGCAAGCTCGGATAGCTCCCATTCCAAGGTGTAATGGAGGTTGGAACAAAGGGGTGTTGTGAGAAGGAGTAGCCGCAGGGGCCAGGAATGGGTAGTTCAAGCATGATCATTAATAATACTTGTGTTTTCTAGTACCAGCTTCCGACTCCGTAAATACTTGTCAACTCGTAATCTCAGAGAAATTCGCAGGTAGGAATGGAGGCATTGCTCTTGAAGATAACGTCAGATGAAACTCTGCCGATGTCCAAATCTACACCGATTATCCGTCCTGTATTATGAACACTTTATACTACCAACACTGTCAAATCAGTTTTATAACCCCTTGCTTTTCCAGTTGAGTGATCTCTGATGGGCTGTCTCATACATCGATTGCCCAGTTCTTCTTGCATATTACGGAACAGCATGTAGATTGAATCAAATCAACATTGGGCTAGCAGCTACGCTTCATTCGTAACAACCATTTAGTTCGCCGCTTGCAACCTTAATGATGCGGTAGAATGTGGCTGTATTCAGGATTCAGAGGTTTCTTATAATGTCACGGCTAGAAGCTCTAGTATATACCTCCCAGTACAAAGACACTGGAAGTATTCATGTACTCGAACAAGGCGGTAATAAAAGAACGCTAGGTTGATGGAAAAGAAGAAGAATCCTAATTACGGATAAGTTCGGATGAGGTTGGAGCAGCAGAGTGAATCTTTCGGATCAAATACCCTAGGCGTCTAATTTGTAAACTTGCCAGCAAGCATCGACACTTGTATGCTTCCTATGCCTACCCTACGAGATCGAAACCGCTATTATATAATTGAAACTTTTTCCCCTTGATCTTTGCGCTGTACACTACGCCTAGAAAGTATCACAGAGTCGTATACCTATATTCATAGTATCCTTCATCCACATTCCATAAGTTCTGAGAACGTCGTCTCTAAGACTGTAATCAATCATGTTTCCAACCCCTGGCTGAGTCGCTTCCACAAAGTCGAACCCTTCCCCGTTGGCGATGGTGGCAAACCCGCCGAACTGCGACCTGACATCAATCACATTCCAGAGACCTTGTTTGCTTACATTAAGATTCGATTCTGGATTTGTGCTTTCGCCGCTGATTGGGCTGGTCGCAGCCACATACTCAAGCTGCGCTACCTCTCTTGTGACATTTAGCTGTTTCATAATAGCTTGCACGGCGCAATCTTCGTTCTCCGTTGCAGCAAGATAGGAACCAGACGCGTACAAGGCGGCAACGAATCGCTTGATGATGTTCCGCTTTGGGCCATTTGAAAGTGATGACTCGGCCACAGTGATTGCAGTGCTGGACAATGGCTCGATGAAATCGGACGCCCTAGCCAGTATTATGGGCCGCTCACCAGGGAGTAACCCCTGGGCGAGCTGGGTGAAAGGGTATGTAAGGATGGTGGCATATACAGTCGTGCCGTTTGGAAGAGACCCAGTAGTAAGGTACTTGTACCGAAGTGCTGTGCTGCCAGCCGCCTGCATCTAGGTTCAGTAGCAATTCACGAAGTGGCTCTTTCATTAAGCAGTGGAGCCTGTCACCTGAAAAAAGTAATCTCCATTCTCAAGCTTCAGCCCGTACAAACTGAGGATCTTCCGCAGGATGTATGCGTAACCGCTGGTTGGGCTGTCGACCATCAGAGGTTTTCCCCTCAGCTGATGCACATTTGTGATATTTGGCGTGGCTGCCAGGACAATATCGGGGCCGGAATCTACTTGACCAAGAACCGTAAGGCTGGCTTTCTGGTTGAACCTAAGGTTCACCACGTTGTCAATCGTTCCGGTCAGGACATCATAGCCACCGTTCAGCAAGTTGGGGTATGCGAAGGTTGAATTTGGAATCTGAAGATAGGTCACGTTTAAGCCGATGCGCTCGAAAATCTTCAGTTGGTTCGCAATCGAGAACGCGGCTGTCTGAGTGAAGGCACCATAATTTACCGCGTCCAGGCAATGGACCGCCGGTACGAGAGACACGAATGCAGCTCTGAAATGCATACCGCTTATCAAAAGAATAGGTTAGAGTTATGGCGGCGTAGTGACGCCACGTAGCATCTGCGATGACTTCGACTGCTTATTTATTTGGGGGTCACATGGCAGCTCGTTATCAACCGGAGCCAGGGTCACCTCTGCTGTGCATATCGTAGGATTGGATGGGCTCTCGATGTGTTCCCCCTGCACTCGCCGCGGACCCTAGTATACCTTAGCTGCGCATGCGCGGGGCGCTTATTGCCTCGGGGTAGGTCTTGTCCAAGCCCACATTTCGTACCTAACATGGGTAAAAAAATATATCAGGGAATCCCAACGTAATCGTGCTTGCTAGCTCAGTTGAACTTCGATGGCTCAAGCTTGACTGGCATGAGACCACTCTCGAGGGAGCCAATGGTTCAAGGTATCTTCAACTTGGTCAAGCGATAAAATACACCATTAGTGTGGATGGGACATCGCATTGCCGATAACCTGTGCATTAATTCGAATAGAGCAAGACCGGAGGCTGTGTCCTATGTGCTATGTTTACCATCGCTAGTTTATTCTCCTAACCTGATAGGTCATGTAATTAATTGCGGCCCCAGGACAAAAGTCTGTCAGGGCTGATAGAGTTGCGCGTGGCAAATGTAGCCAGCATAGTAAAGAACGGTGTACACTTTTCAGAGACGCTGTCTCAATCGAATTAGAGAAGACAAAGTACGCCATTAACCGCCCTCATAAGAAGTATTCAAATACGCCCTCATTGTCAAGCCACCCTTAATAGGCTATGGAGCTACATAACAGAGCCCTCGATGACTACTAACTTGAATAACTGGCAAAAAGGGTGGTGATGCCAGTTACCTTTTATTGCTATAGGAGTCGGGCCACATAACACAGCAGTATAGCGACCTCTTGCTGGTCCCTAGGACTTGCAGAAACTGACGGGTTAATGAGTTGCTCGTTATCAAAGGGCTTCAATATCCTGACTATGCGCCTTATCAAGAAGACGGATGAAGTGAGTTTGATAAAAGCTTATGAGACGCGTTACTTGGTGCTGCAACTCCGGACTTTTCAATGGAGTTTGAGCTTCTGAGACAAAGTGACGTTGAGCAATTACATAAGCCAAAGTGTTTCAGCTCAACGATATAGTTGGACCAACGGTGTACCAGAGGATTTCAGTACCTTACTAAGGAAAACGAGGTTACCTAATTCCCCAGAATCGTGGGCATTGTCCCACGCTAGACGGGTCCAAGAGGCTGCACTAATTTTGATTTCTGCCCCTGTGGATCTCAAGAAGGTCACAGCGCGGGTAAACAAGCAGGCACTTATTTGGAGGGCAGATTGAGAATGTAACCCACAGTGGAGTGTCGTGGTTAAAATAAAAGCCCGAGCAGCATGCACAGATAAGGCGCGCGTTCGACGTCAAGGTGACAAGGCATGACAAGACCAAGAACGTCCACACGTTCCTGAAGCTCTGATTGAAACGAGCTGTTGACTTGTGGAACTAGCTGCGCCCGCCTAGTACGGGTCTCAAATGGATGGCCTTGTGCCGCTGGCCGCGACGGGGCAATCTTGGAAGCTTCGAACACCATGATCGCGAAGCACAAGAGGCACCAAACCACCAGACCCCAAACGCTTGGCGGTGCGGACAAACGCATGTATGCTAAAAATCCCATCCAATTCTTTCGGAAGGGAGGCAAGGAGGGGGCCGCTGGACTGCTGGGGGCTACCTATCTGTCGGGCGCTCGGTCGGCATATTATTCTGGGCTGTCAGGATGCCTGGTACCTGCGTTGGTGGCCTTCGTTTGTTAGTTGCAAGCTTAATGTAGGTATGTGCAGGCGATCCCTGTGCCTGAAATAGACTGTGTACATATCCACAGCAGGCAACCCGCCCGCTGCACAGCTGCGGAGTACAAGAGGAGCCACTGGAAAACCCCCTGACTGACGATCCCCATGTGTCCACGCTACGCTGTACATAGTACCATATCCCAGAACGGGCGTGCATGTTAAGTCGCGATTGATCAAGCCACGGTGCACGCCATGGCATGGACCGCCCGCCCTTGTGCAGCAGTAGGGGGCGTATGGGGCGTAAAGGCGGAAGTTGGTGCTTGTCGGCTCCTTCATGTGAGGCGGTGGAACGTAGGACGAGCAAAGAGCCAGAAACCAAACACATGTTTCCCGCAACCCAGGCGTTGAAGGTTGGTATTGACCGTGACCGTGACCTCAACCTTGGCACAACGTTTGATGGACGTTTTGACATTGTACCTGACCGTGGTGACACGCGTGGTTCGACAGGCGGCCTTCTCAATCCCTTCTTTTCTCGCGGCGCGCTATCTGCCCAGCTTGGTTTAGGTACCACCAACTAAAACGCAACGGTTCTCAAATCTCTAATCTCCCCCCCGATAGGCATCAAATCACTAAACCCACCTCGCAGAGGACCCCCCGGGACTTTGGGGTTGGTCCCTTTTTTTTCCCCCTAACCCCTTCTCCCCTTTCCCCCTTCGCCTTGCCAGTCCCATCACTCCAGAAGCCGACGACGACGACAAGGACGACAACGACGACGACCAGACGACCAATCCCGGCGGAATCACCTAGCTCCGTTGCTGCTGCCCCGTCTTGCCGCCACGTCCAGTAGTACGGATCGTCCCTCCGTGCAGTCCGCCCAGAAATTCCGACCGTCAGTCGGACCTCACTCGTTCCCTCGTCGCATTCGCGCCGCACCGCGCCGGCCAGTCCGTCACCATGGGAGGCCAATTCAGCAAGATGATGGGCAAGATCTTCGGATCCAAGGAGATGCGACTGCTCATGCTCGGCCTCGACGCCGCCGGCAAGACGACCATCCTCTACAAGCTCAAGCTCGGCCAGGACGTCACCACCATCCCCACCGTCGGTTTCAACGTCGAGACCGTCACCTACAAGAACGTCAAGTTCAACGTCTGGGACGTTGGCGGCCAGGACAAGATCCGGCCCCTCTGGCGCCATTACTTCAGTGGTAAGTGGAAGAAAACAAAGAGAAAAAACCCAGGGGATCACGCGCCGTGCAGTGCGCCCAGCAGCTTGTCGGTGCAGCCGGCCTGTGGGAAGTCCGATTCCACGCGCAACGGGTTGGGATGTTGCAGTGTGACACAAGGGCTTTGCGATCATTTCAGCTACAACGACCTCTAACGTGCGGGCATGTACAGGTACCCAAGGTCTCATCTTCGTCATCGACTCGTCGGATCGGGCAAGAATCGAGGAAGCCAAGCAGGAACTCCATCGCATCATCAATGACCGGGAAATGAAGGATAGTTTGCTACTGGTGTTCGCCAACAAGCAGGATATCAAGGATGGTACGAGACATCTCTCGCTCGCCCTGCCACCCATTCGTCTTATGCTAACTCTTTTCGCCCACCTGCAGCCATGAAACCCCAAGAAGTCACCGATGCCCTGCAGCTCTCCAAGCTGAAAGACAAGGTCTGGTACGTCGTGCCCTCGTGTGCAACCACCGGCGAGGGCCTCCTGGAGGGTCTGGCCTGGCTGTCAAACAACGTCAAGGCACCCCCGGCACCGGCCAAGAAGTAAAGAAGTCCTCAAGTTCTGCGACATGAACGCGCAATAGGATACCCCACCACCTGATGCTTCGTAGCGAGTCAAGAGCTGGGCTCGTCTCGTCTTGAAATCGCCGGGACACCACACAAAATCCCGGAGAAACACCAAATCTAATAATACCCGTGCGCTTCCAAGGAGCAAGTGAGAGGATGTGTGCATGGCTGGAGCAGACACCGCGACAGAGCCGGCGAGAAGATTAGGAGGCGGCAGCAGTCTTCATCAATACCCAGGATCTGAGACAACGGACGAATCTGAGGAGGCCCAATGGAGTGATGGA